GTCTCTAGGACTCCCCCTTCCTCAAGGTGTCGGAGTTTCACGCAGGGAGAGCCAACAAATTTTAACTCTCCTGAGAAACTAATGGAAATAGATTTCTTGCCTTGTGACCAACTGACACAAAATTCATGACACAAAATATTGAGTATGAAGTAGTCATACTCAATATTTTTAGAAATTGTAATCTTAAAAAGTATATATTTTGGATGGCCTAAAAAATAGTTTTTAATATCTCGGAAACCAAAGCTGCACAAACGAAAATTATATTGGCACCAACTGAGCACAAACCAATCAGACTATTTGCTGAATTATTTGAGTAGGTGGGTTTCAGCTTCACGGAGGTCGGTTTCGCTTCTCCCATTAAACACCAAGTTAACTAAAAAAGCTCTCCCTCTTCAGATGCCAAATAAGCTGCATTTCCCTCCCAATTCTTTTTTCTTTTGCATAATGACCAGTTGTTGCACCTATAGCTTGTGAAATAGAGTAATCGTAACGTTTTTTTTTCTTCATGTTGGCTGCATTTTGGCCACTATTTATTTTTCTAATTTTCAGCACCGACCTTACTGAAAGGGAAAACTTGAGGCTTATAGAAACTTTGTATTTTCTGTCCTGGAGGGTTTACTAAGAAGCTGGTTCAGTTGTAAAGCAGGTTAAGTTAACCTAAAGCAGGTTAAGCAGTTGTAAAGCAGGTTAAGTTAACCTTTTGGTTTAGGTAAAGCACCTACTTTTCTTAACTAAATTATGCCTGCAGGTATGTCTATTAGTAGGTTTCATTTTATAAACGTTGAAGTTGTGGAATATCTTGTTTATGCAACATGATTGTATCATGTTTTTGGCTCAAACATGGAATTATTTAGTTAACAGTACATGATATTCTTTTGTTAATGTAATAAACCCTGAGGTTCTTTTTTTACAGTGCATGGAGGGGACGTGTAAATGTGTGCATGTGTGTGTATATTAAATAACCTGTTAATTATGTAGGGAAGAGAGAAAATGGAAGAAAGTTGTTAACATGAGGAAACGAGCACAATGTGGAGGTAATCATATTCTGACTTTTGGTCCATTAGTTTAGTTTTTAAAAACTTTTTAGGCTCTAATAAAGTGTTTTAGGCTCTAGTAGCCGTTATTTTTGCAGTGGTTGAACAGGAAGTTATTTTCTTTTTCTACACAGTTTTCATGTTGAATTGCACTTTTTTTGTTCAGTTCATCTTGAATTTGTTATTCTAAATAAAGCCTAAGAGAAAGATCACAGTAACTTTTATCTTTGATAAAACCTGTTTTATCAAAGATAAAACAACTTTGGGCTTCTTCACGGTCCAGATTATTAAATTATGATTACAATTACCATCTAATTCCATGTACAGATTTAACTCTAATCTTCATTTAACTGGAACCTGAAAAAGTCTAAACATGTTAAATCATGTTTTTTATGTTTGGTATGAAAACTAGTGATGGTGAGATGAAGCCTCATGAGGCATTGAACCACTTGATTCAACTGGTTCGAGAAAGGGTTCATTTCTTGAAGCTTCATGTGCTCACGAAACCACCTACTGGCCAGGTGTATAATCACAGCCAGCTGTATCTTAACACGTGATGCATTGAATTTTTGTCTATTATTGGTCTTGGGAATGACGTCACAAAAGGTGTAGGACGAAATTATTTGTCTAAATTATGTATATACATATGTGTATTATAAAATATTGTTTGAATGTATTCTCCGTGTGTAATTTTTCCCCAAATAGTCGTGTCATGTGACATGGCATGTTGTGTAATAATGTTTATCTGTGACTCTAGAAAAATGGCTTAATCAGGCAGAGGACAGTGAAAGTAATTGTGGAACTAGGGAGGGGGCAGTGAATAGGCTAATGCTTGTGTAACTTGGAGGATTTCATGCATTTTTATTAAGAAACAACAATTTCTCCACAGTTTTTGGTTTCAAACGATTCCTCTTTTTTGATACTACTTCTCCAGCCTTTGAAAAGACATGCTTCTAAATCTCCGATCTCTCTCTCTTTCTCCTAAACTCTCCAAACACCAAACTAACTGTCTCAAACTAAATAACCACTATCCAAACTCTGCTATCCAAACTATCAAACCTCTATCCACTCTCTCAACTGACCGCTGGAAAATGGCAATTAATTTTACAATTGCCATTTTCCAGCATGTGTTGGAGTTTATAAACTGTTTTGGGGACGAATTGCAGTGACCAACTGACCTGACCTGCATGTTTAAGGGGATGTGGGGGGAACCGGAGCGCCCGGGTAAAACCCACGCAAACACGGGGAGACCATGCAAACTCCACACAGATGGTCTCTGTGAAGACGCAGCGCTAACCGCTGCGCCACCGTGCTGCCCACCATTTTTCTATTGGGTTGGGAGGATCTATTTTGTCAATCGGGAGAAAAACTGTCTTTTTAAAGACAAAGTTCTGTCTTTAAAACTTTGTTTTAAAACTTTAAAGTTTTAATACTTTAAAACTTTAAAGTTTTAGAAATTTAAAACTATAAAGTTTTAAAACGTTAAAACTATAAAATTTTAAAACTTTAAAACTATAAAGTTTTTGATAAATACCAAATGAATCTTTCTTATCCTTCTCATTCTTTGTTTTTCTTTGACTTAAAACCTAGAAATTTTTTCAGTCTTTTCCAGATAGTTTTCTTCGGTTTCTTTTTACCGTCTAAATCCTGAAGGCCACTTTCTTCTTGGGTCATAATTTCCTCAATGGCGTCAGCGTCTTTAGAACAACCTGGCTGTGGTTCTGGTTCTGGTTCAGGTTGTCCAGGTTGTTCCTCGTCTGAATCCATGTCATCATTTGAATCAGTAATCGAGTCGAGATGGCCGACTGATGTTTCCTCCTCCTCCTCTTGTTGTTGAGGACTTGCCGTGTTAGATGACGGTAAATTTGTTGAGGGTTCAAGGATACTTTCTACAGAAAAACTTTTCAGTTGGTTTAGTTCTGCTGATTTTTTAAGTGAACTGATGTCACTTTCATATCTAATAGAGAGGTCTTGATACAAAATGTCAACCTTTTTTAGTTCTTCCATGACGTTGCTCAGCTTCTCCTGCAGGCACTTAATCTCAACTTTTGATGTTTTCTGCAGGACGGTTTTTTCCAATTCCAATATGTCGATGAGCTTCTTTTTCTCTTCTGTCTTCTCCAGGAATAACCTTCTGTCTTCATTTATTTGCTTTTTCAGGATTTCTCCACTTTCTCTCTCGGCTTTAAGTTTGTCGGTCAGCTCCTTATTTTTCAAGAGTTGTTCTAAATTATTTTCTTTTTCTTGCCTGAGCTCCTGTTGGCATCGCTACAGGTCTTGTTTCAGGATTGCGATCTCTTTCTCATGAGTCAACATCAGATTATTATACGATTTTTGGGTCCTCCAATTCTCTCTTCAACAGTTGTTCTGATTCTTGCATCAACTCAATTTCCCCGACATTTCTTTCCTCATCATTTCCATCTCGATTTTTACATTATCCAATAATTGCTGTTTCTCACTAATCTTTTCATTGTAAAGTGTTTGTGATTTTGCCTCTTCCCTCCTCTGTGTCATGTCAGCGTTATATTTGGCATTGAGCTCCTGGTACAACCTCTGGAGCTCCTTCATTTCTTCCTCTAGGACCTTATTCTTCTCTTTCTCAACATGAAGTTCGTCCATAAAAGCTTCAACTGTGTGAAAGCAGGACACCCTCACTTCTTCATATTTCTGCTGTATTTCTTCCTTCTCCATATCTTTGACTTCTAGCTGAGCCTGAGAAGTGATTACACCAAATTTTAGGACTTCCACGTCTCTGAACTTCTCCAGCCTTTCCAGTTCGGCCTTCGCTCTGCAGGCTTGATCAAAATATCCAACTTTTACCTCCTCTTGTTTCTTGAGTTGAAACTCCATTTCTTGGAGCTCTTCCTCTAGTTTCTCTCTCACTGCAAGCCTTTTGGCCTTTTCCTTGTTCAAAAGGACGTTCAGTCGATGGATCTCCCTTTCCAAATCATCGGGGTTGGCAGTAGAGCTCCTGCTTTGGGGGTGTTGGTGGTTTCCCCTCCTTGTATTAAATCTCATCATAGTTGGTCTTGCACTTTGCTGAGACATTTTCTCAAACACTATCAATAAAATCATCGATAAAAGAGTTTGCGAGAGTCTGAACTGGTCAGTAGTATTGCGAGCAATGACAAATATGCAGAATTGTGTTGCATACAATTCTGCAGAAAACCCCATGTATACAATTAGACACATGTAGTGGACTGATAATTCAACAGAGGGTAGTAACTTTCTCACCAGAGGCCTTTCCACTGATACTACAAGACTGCCATGGCAAAGGACTGGGACACATGCAGTTTCAGCAGGGAAACTTTGCCAATTTTAGAAGGTTAAGGTAAGAAACAAAAAAATGTTTTGGGGTGAATTATCAATAGGAACACTTACTGAGTTGATGCAATGTAAAATTACTTAGTATGTTATCATAATTTTTTTGTAAAACCGTGTTGAAAAGTAATGTATCAAATTTGATATAGTGGGTCAGTTAACTCGAAAAATTAGTCTTCATGTATTTTACATCACGTCAAGCAATGTACAGTCTTTTTTCATATAAACTAATGACATGTTTGCATGTGTAGCCGAGTTGATTTTATTTATTTATTTTTTTATAATTATTATGAACCTTCTCAAAACACTTTTTTTTTGTTGTCGGTGTTTTTTGGTTCCTGATGTTGTTCTGGGAGGATGATTATTGGTGTGGCACACAGTGGGGTTCTGTGGGATAGCTGCTGCTGCAGCCAGGCAGAAGCTGCCCACACAGCTACTGGTAAGACGTGCTAATGCTAGCCCTCATTCTTAGTGATGCTTATGTTGTTCATAATTGTTCTCACACTTTTGTACTGCATAAATTATAATGTTAATTGTTTTTATGTGTCTTAAAAAAACTTTAGGTTCAGTTAGAATTAAACTGTTGCCCTTTAAAGTTGTTTGAAATTTTCCCTCCAAAATGTTTGTAGAGCTGCTGGGATCTGACTGGTTGTGTGTGCCACACCGACGGTTGACTGTGTCCCACGTTGTGTTATAGGTATGTAATAAATGGACAGATTTCTGTTATAGTTTTAATTTAATTACTTTATATGTATTATTTTACATAAAGTAAAAAAGTTGAGTTTTGTATTATAATTTGGATTTTTATTCATATTACTTTGCATTATGCATTAACATATTTCTTTGATGCTGATTTGTACACAATTTTATTTTTCTTTATTCCATTTGTGGTTAATGTAAAAAGTGAGAAGCTGCCTACACAGCTGCTGAGCTGCTGGGATCTGACTGGTTGTGTGTGCCACACCGATGGTTGAGTGTGTCCCACGTTGTGTTATAGGAATAAACTGACGCAGATCCTGAGTCCTGCGTGATCCATTTCACAACTGCTACACATGTTCATAATTTGGTACATTTATAGCTTAAAAATAGATATGCAACTTGCACCTTTTGCTTATTTTCATTGAAAACTGACCAATTCAAAGATAAAACAAACACTGTTTTTTGTGCCGGTGTGTTTTTTTTTTTAGATGGCAAAGACATACAGTGTTGAAGATGTTCTGAAAATGATCACGGATGGGAATTCAAGTGACATCGAGCAGCTAGGGGAGGATGAGGATGAGGAATGGACTCCTGCAAGGATTGAGGAACACCCAGATAGCAGAGATGATGAAGAAGAGGAAAACCCAGATAAGGATAATGATGAAGAAGCACCAGAAATCCCAAAGGACAAAACATCAAAGCAGTCAGGAAAGAGCAAAGTGGAAAGGAAGGAGTATCGCTGGAAAAAAAAAGAGTTTGAAGCCCCGTCTGTTGAGTTTGTGGAACCTGTTGAAGAAGACTCTGAAGAGAGGCTTGACTGGACACCATGTCAGTACTTCAAAGATTTTGTGACAGAGGACATGCTACAAGAAATTGCAGAAGAAACAAACTTGTACAGTGTGCAGAAAAATGGAAAGTCGGTTCACACAAATGCCCAAGAAATCGAGCAACTTCTGGGTATGTATATGCACATGGGGTTAGTACAGATGCCCAACGTACGAGCTTACTGGGAGATGGCGACAAGGCACCCCCCAGTTTGTGATGTGATGTCAAGGGGTCGATTCCAGAATTTGCTGACAGTGATTCACTTTCAGAATAACCTCAGTGTGTCTGAGGATGCAAAACAAGATAAAGTGTGGAAACTCAGGCCATGGTTGGAGAAACTACGCCAACGCTTTCTTCGCATACCACCTGAAGAATGTCACGCTGTTGACAAAATCATGGTGCCTTTCAAAGGAAAATCACATCTACGGTGCTACATGCCCGGAAAACCTCACAAGTGGGGGTTCAAGATGTGGGGACGTGGTGGGCAAAGTGGCTATCTATATGACTTTGATGTGTGCCAAGGGGGAGGAAATCTTGACCAAGAGAAATCTGATGTTGGTGCTGCAGATGTTGTCCTGAAAATGACCTCAACCCTTCCAGCAGGAAAGAATCACAAAGTTTTTGCTGACAATTTCTTTACGTCAGTTCCATTGGTAGAGCACTTGAAACAAAGAGGAATCTACTACGTAGGCACAGTCCGAACGAACAGGGTGAAGAATTGCCAACTGATGGATGAGAAAGAACTGAAGAAAAAGGGAAGAGGGTCACTGGATTTCAGAGTAAACCAGGAAAACAACATCATTGTGAGATGGTCTGACAACAAAGCTGTGAACCTGCTCTCTTCTTTTGTTGGTGTTGAACCTCTGGGCAGTGTGAAGCGTTGGGATCGAAAAGCCAAAACCCACATAATGGTTCCCAGACCGGCCATTGTTGACACTTACAACAGGTTCATGGGAGGCATTGACCTTCTAGATATGCTTTCTGCTCTGTACAAGTTCAGCTTCAGATCCCGAAGATGGTACATCTACATTTGGTGGCACACCATCACAGTGGCAGTAATCAATGCATGGATCCGCTACAGAAGAGACCTGGAGAAACTGCATCCCAGGCAGAAACACCTGCCCCTGCGAAGGTTTCAGGCCTCTGTTGCCACTGCCCTCACAAGTGCACGAAAGGTCAAAAAGCGTGGCAGACCTTTGTCCTCTCCGGAAGCAACGCCAGCCCCTCCTAGGAGGAGGAAAACCACTGAGTTGCCCCCTGATGTGAGAAAGGACGGCCTCAATCATTTCCCAACATGGGAAACCCGACAGAGATGCAAGCACTGTGTGGGCCACTTTTCCTATGTGTTCTGTGAGAATGCAGAGTGCATCTTTGTCTGAACAAGGACAGAAACTGTTTCCAAGCCTATCATAATGCAAAATAAAACGTTTTTTCTACACATCTTGTGAACCACAATATGTATAGAAAATAACTGAAATGTTATGTTTTCCTTTGGTGGATTTGTTATTGCTGCATTATTGTAGCACTTTTTATGTTTGGAATTAACAATTTATCTGAGTTGTTTGTGTTTTATTATGTTTTTATTTGTTCAAGAAAGAATAAACTTTGAGCATTGTGACCCAATGTATCAAATATGATACAAAATGAAACTCATATATGGAAAATGATATTTGAATGTTTTTTTTTTTGCTTTGTTCAGAGGGACCAATAAAGGCTCCAGTTTCAAAGATTTGGAATTTTCTGTCAGTTATTTCATGTTGTGGGCTTTACAGGGATGGTGTATTAGTTTGAATGTATTTTTTCATTATTTTAAACAATGAAAAGAATTGTAGAAATAACTGCAGATAAAATCCTGTCTTTGCAAAAGATAGTACTGACATGGGAAACTTATCGCTCAAGTAACATTTCACAAGTGAAGGCTCAATTTTTCTTCAGAATTGAGCTTTCTCCATTTTTAAAACACGACGTAGTGGAAAACCTTTTATTTATTTATGTTTTTATGTTAAAAACTGCTTTATTTGAGTATGTGGAAGTTATAGATTACAATAGTAACAATATCCTAATGATAATTAAGTACTAATTAAAAACAAAAATTTATTTCTATTAAATTATTACTGCAGAGTACTATTAACAATCCAATCCCAAACGATTAATAATCAAATTACCTAGTATTATTATTGAAGCGATGACGTTTATTTTGAACACAGCCAAATCAAACTGCATAACGTAAAGTAGGTAGAAGTAGAAAAGAAGTGTTCTCACTACTTTCTTCAATATATATAACAGTCATTTATATGAATCATTTACATATTTGACCCAATTCTACACATCGACACAATTATGGTATACAAAAAATATATAAATAATGCTTATTTTGTGTGGTATTTAGTATTTGATAATCTATTTGCACATATAGAAAAGAGTAATCTAAATAGTGATATGCTAATGTTTGGTTCAGAGGACCGTGAGGCTATTTGTGCTCAGACTGTTGACCTGCTGCTGCTGCTGCTGCTGCTGCTGCTGAATCGACTGTCGCAGAGTTTTTGACGGAAAACTGACGGGACCAGGAGGAAAAGTCAGGAACCAACTTCGCTAACCGTCAGGTAGCAACATTATCTGTCAGTTTGGCGATGAAGGAAAGCGCAACGTGTATATGACGCGATTGAACCAGACCGTGATTCACTGACCGCCTTATTTGTTACATGAAGGCGTTTTAAGAGCTCTGTGGGCGCTAGCGCGGGATGCTAACAGTTAGCGGCTAACGCTGCTAGCTCCAACTTGTTGCAGATAAAGTTTGAAAGCTCTTTTTACTGTCTGACCTTTAACTGTTATTCGTTGTCTCTTGTTTTGCACACATCAAATACCTGCATGCACAGAATGCGCAGCCTGTTTTGGCAATGCAATGGTTTTAATTCACCAGCTGCTCGGTTGTAACTCAGTATTAACTCGCAACTGTTAGCCGAGTTCACGCTGCTATCACTGACTCAGCTTGCTACTTCTGCAGGTTTCGGGGCTCGGCGATGGGGGACATGAAGACCCCTGATTTTGATGACTTGCTCGCGGCTTTCGACATCCCTGACATTGACGCACAAGAGGCCATTCAGTCAAACCCAGCCGAGCAGCGGGATGGAGGTGCTGCTAGTGCGCCCGGGGGAAGCAAGAGTGGGACCTCTTCATGCTTCCCCAGCTCTGAGCCGCCTGTGGTCAGCGTCATAGTGAAGAACACTGTTCGCTCTGAGTCTCTGGAGGAAGAAGACAGGTCTGCAAGGGATAAAACTGATAATCCTCCGAGCAGTGCCTTAACCTCTCAGGTTCCAGTCAAGTTAGAGGATTTCACTTCAGAGTTGGAGCCCAAACTGCCTGCCAGCGCTGCCATGGAGCCTCAGATTACCAATGGCTTTGAGGAAGCTCAAGCTATAAATCAGGCACAGGCCAGCGCACAACCCTGGTCCGAGCCTCCTCCTTTCAGCTCCCCGCTGAGTGATAACGAGGGCGACGAAGGAGCCGGACCCACCGCTGATGTTATTAACAGTTTGTCGCCCCTTCTGTACCCGCAGTCTTCAACGCCAGCTGGTACCACCCGATTATCTCCTCGCTCCCCACCTTCATTAATCCCTTGCTCACCTCAGCAGGAAAAACCTGCTAATCCTTTGTCGCCTCCTTTGCAACAAAACGGAAGCATGACAGTTGAAACCAAATGTGATGCGGACACCGATGAAGATGAGTCCGATCCGGACTTCGGGAGTCCGCTGGTGATTCAGGAGAGCCCAGAATCGATGATGTTCTCCCCTCCAAAACGCAAACGGCGAGAAAAACTCATTTTGGATCATCCTCTGGCGTATGAGGACACATCTTCTATTTTTCCGCAGCCTCCCAGTCTTTCTGCAAAACCTAAATCCCCAAAAGAGGAAGAGGAACGGCCTTCGAAATCTAGCTCTTCCTCCACAGCTCCACAACCCCAGAGCCTCTCTGCCATCGACACAAACTCAGCGGCACTGAAGGAGGAGAAATACCCAGAGCATGTGATCGATGAGAGGGACTCACCCGAGAGCCCCCCACCCAGTGAGACCGGGCTTCTGTTCAACAGGAACAGAAGCTCTGATTATGGATCAACATCAGGCTCAGATCTGAATCAGGAGAAACTCCTGGAAAAAGATCCTCCTGCTGAAGCTGAGCAGCAAGAGGGGGACAGATCTCAGGAAACTGAAGATCTGGGTGGAAAGATGACAGCAGATGGAGAAAAATCAAATGAAAATTGCCATGCTGGTAGCGAGCACACAGAGACACCATCCTCCCCACCCAGACCACTCAAAGTTAAAATTAAAATGCCAATAGGCAGCATCACAAGAACTGTGACTAATCTGGCTCCTAAACGAATCGCAAAAGCCTCTACGAAAGACACGGAGAGCTCCAAACCATCTTCAGAAGGCCAAGCGGTAAAGTCCAAAAAGGAGCTGCAACAGCAGTCGGACTTAACTACAGCGGCAACAGCAGAAAGTGTCAGTACAGTGAAGGAGAAAAAGCAGAGAGTGTCCCCCACAGCAGTCAGCATCACTAAGACTGCAACACTGCCGTCCGTCTCTTCCTCCCCCTCCTCCTCCAGGGCCAACCCAGGTGCAATCAACCTCCGCAGCCTTGGCAAGAAAACTCTCAACAGTGGGATCGCCCTGCCAGCACCTCTGGTGCCCCAAACCAGCAGCAGGCCGGCCTCTATAGTCAATAACACCGGGGCGATCATTTCCAAGAGCCAGACCAACCTGGTGGAAGCCTTCAACAAAATCCTCAATAACAAAAACCTTCTGCCCAGTTATAAACCAGATCTGAGCTCCCCAGTACCAGCAGAGTGGGGCATTTCCCTTCCATCACAGGTGAGCCTACACCGCTACAGTTAATTTATAAAGAAATGTTATTGTTTCTAGTAATTTGTAACACATTTTTATCTGAATAGTTAGAAAAAATGTAAAAATTCCTCCACTGCAAAAAACACAAAATTATACAGAGTATTTCTGGTCTAGTTTCAGTGCAAATATACATGAAATAAGACAAAACTAACATTTCATTTCGATTTAAACAAGTAATTCTTTAATATTGATGAAAAAGTACTAAAGGCAAAGTAATCAGCCAGTGGAACAAAACATCATGATCTGCTCATGTAAAATCAACTTAGTATGAACATATTACAGATGTAAAATGGGAAAAATGTCTTATTCCACTGGCAGATTAATTCACTCATAACTAGTACTTTTTAAAAAAATCAATATTAAGGAATTGCTTACTTAAAACAAGCTGAAAAGTTACTTGTTTTGTGTCATTTTAAGTGTGCTAAAATATTTGCCCAAGAAACTAGACCAAAAATACTTGGTAAGATTTAGTGTATCTTCAGTGTCCAGATCAGATGGTCAGTTTTCCCCGTCTGCTTGCTTCCCTGCAGGGCTACCGGTGTCTGGAGTGCGGCGACGCCTTCGCCCTGGAGCACAGCTTGGCGCAGCACTACGACAGGCGCTCGCTCAGGATCGAGGTGACGTGCAATCACTGCGCCAAGCGGCTGGCCTTCTTCAACAAGTGCAGCTTGCTTTTGCACGCCCGAGAGCACAAAGAGAAAGGCCTGATCATGCAGTGCTCACATCTGGTCATGAAGCCTGTACCTGTGGAGCAGATGATCAGCCAGCCTGAATCTGCAGCTGCAGCAGGGGGTGAGAGGAGGATTGTGCCTTTTTTCTCCTTAAAGTGAAGACTGGAATCTCTTCTTGTGATCTTTCTTTTTGTTTTTTAGGCCAGGTCGCTCTAAAGCCGGCACATCAAACTGCACCGTCCAAGAAAGAAACAGATATGTTGCTGTACACAAATAACAAATGCCCTGAGTGTCAGACTCAGTTTGGCAGCAAAGAGGAGGTTTCTGACCATTTTCAAGAGGTCAAATCAGCTAAAAGCACTGTAAGTTTTACTTAGGTGCACTATTGTAAACAAAAGTGAAGGTAGTAAGATGGTGTACCAATGGAGTTCTTTTTTTTTAAAACCGAAAACAATCACCTTTGTATTGTTTGCCTTTTCTCCTAATTAGGATCAGAATTAGGGTTGGAAAGAGAGTTAAACCGATTATATCGTGAACCCTCAGAGCAAGTGGGACAGTGTTTCTTTTTTTATCTGAAGACTGAACATAATGAGAGCAAAAACACGCAGAGGAATTTTTTGAAATCTATAAAAGATACAAAAAAGCTGAAATAAACAGAAGTAGGCAAAGGATGTGACATTGCCGTGTTTCAGCCATATTTGCAGTTTTAGTGTGACAGAATGTGTCATTTATCCGACCCAATGCTTTAAAATGAGTATGATTGCCTCAAGTTATAGTCTGTAGTAATGTGAGCATTTTATGTCAAAT